GTGGAGTGGTGGTGGGACTGTTTGGAGATGCTGCGTGAGAATACACTGGTCACGTTGGCCAACATTTCCGGGCAGCTGGACCTCTCCCCTTACCCGGAAAGCATCTGTTTGCCTATCCTGGATGGACTCCTCCACTGGGCAGTGTGTCCGTCAGCAGAGGCCCAGGATCCCTTCCCGACACTGGGGCCCAACGCTGTCCTCTCCCCTCAGAGACTGGTTTTGGAAACACTCAGCAAACTCAGCATCCAGGACAACAACGTGGATTTGATCCTGGCGACTCCCCCGTTCAGCCGCCTGGAGAAGCTGTACAGCACCATGGTGCGGTTCCTCAGTGACAGAAAGAACCCGGTGTGCCGGGAGATGGCCGTGGTACTACTGGCCAACTTGGCACAGGGGGACAGCCTGGCGGCGAGGGCCATCGCCGTGCAGAAGGGCAGCATTGGCAACTTGCTGGGCTTCCTGGAGGACAGCCTGGCAGCCACGCAGTTCCAGCAGAGCCAGGCCGGGCTGATGCACATGCAGAACCCGCCCTTCGAGTCGACGAGCGTGGACATGATGCGCCGAGCCGCCCGGGCCCTGCTGGCCCTGGCCAAGGTGGACGAGAACCACTCGGAGTTCACGTTGTACGAGTCGCGGCTGTTGGACATCTCCGTGTCGCCTTTGATGAACTCTTTGGTTTCACAAGTTATTTGTGACGTACTGTTTTTAATTGGCCAGTCATGACAGCTGTGGGATCCGAGACCCTGTGTGCGTGTGCGTGAGTGGAGAACTTAGAAACTGACTGTTTGCCCTTTATTTATGCAAAACCACCTCAGAATCCACTGTCTGCCCTGCGCTGTCCTGCTTCTCCCTCGGGGAAAGATGTCCCTGGCCCCTCTCCCCTTTCCCCTGCCCTTCAGAATTTGTCCTGAAATCCCTTATTAAAGGAGACAAAGTTCTGTCTACATAGAAGACTTTTTTTATTTTAACCAAAGTTACTGTCGTTTACAGTGAGTTTGGGGAAAAACGACTTGCCGTGTTATCCCATTGACAGGCACCACTTTCATAACTGTTTTTAAATGGTAAAAAACTCTGAAGGACAAAAAAAAAAAAAAGTGACTGCTGAACTCTGTGTGGTTTATCGTTGTACATTCACAATCTTGCAGGAACCAAGAAGTTACCAGTTGTGAACAGACCTTGTCCAAGGGAGGCCTGTGCAGTAGCGTGTAGAACTCCATGTACTGTACACCTTAAACTGTAAACATACTGTAATAATGTCTCACATGGATTAAAAAAAAAAAAAAGAAAAAAAGAAAAAAACGCTGGATCAGCAGCAAGCTGTAGTTTTTAAAAATGTTTTTAGTTAATGTTGAGGAGAAAAAAAAAAAAAGGCTTTTCCCCCAAAGTATAATGTGTGAACCTACAACACCCTGACCTCTTTCTCTCTTCCTCCTTGATTGTATGAATAACCCTGAGATCACCTCTTAGAACTGGTTTTAACCTTTAGCTGCAGCCCGAGAGCTGCCACGTGTGTATATATATATGACGTTGTACATTGCACATACCCTGAGACTCCTGCAGTTTTGTCCCCCTCTCCCCACCCCTTTATAGTATGACGAGTTAACGAGTTGATGACCTGCAAAAGCGAGACACAATTATTTAATCTCTTGCCAGACATCCCTCCCTGGAGGATGCTGTACAGGTCTCTGTGTATAAAGTCATTGCTGTCTCAGCAGCCAATCAACTTATAGTTTATTTTTTCCTGTTTTTGTTTTCTTTCTAATCGAGGTGTGAAAAAGTTCTAGGTTCAGTTGAAGTTCCTGATGAAGAAACACAATTGAGATTTTTCAGTGATGAATTCTGCATATTTGTATTTCAGACGATGTAGCTAAAAACTTGATGTAAATTCCTCCCTTTTTTCCTTTTTTGGCTTAATGAATATCATTTATTCAGTATGAAATCTTTATACTATATGTTCCACGTGTTAAGAATAAATGTACATTAAATCTTGGTAAGATGTTTGTAAGGGTTTTTTTTATTGGCAGGACAGGGAGGGAAGTTCAGTGCTGCCAGTGATGGTGCAGATCAGCTCCTCCTTTCCCACACAGGACCTCAAAGGTCCTGCAAGGTGCAGCAGTGTCAGCTGATGGCAAAGTCCTGCCTTGCTCAGGAGATGCTGCACTGTCTGACTTTGCTTTCTCTGGGCATGGTTCAGTCATGGAATTTTTCCTTAAGTCTCAGGATTTACAGCATGAGTTGAAGCTGTGGCAGAGAGAGAACTCCCAGGGTGAGAAAGGCCTTGCTGGGAAGGGAAGGCGGTTCCTTCCCAGCTCTGAAAATGGAAAATTGTTCACATTTTTCACATTTTCTTGGAAGTGTGGCGTGGACTCTGACTTCCTTCCGAGGCTGGGGGTTTCCAGAGGACAGAGCTCCGAGGCCCTTCAGCAAATAGCCAAAGTTCAGGCTCTTTGGATGAGAATCTGCACGTTTTTAGGGGTTTGGAAGTAGTGGGTATTTTATTTAGCCTGAAGCTTTATCCTCAATGGATACCAGAAGTAGGGTAGCTACAACTGCTCTGAGCTCATGAAAGAAAAAGAAGCTTTTTTTAAAGGCCAATGTAATTTTGGTTCAAAAATTCACCCTGTTTTATCTCCTAGTCCTCTCCTAGGAAGCTCTCGGTTCCTTCGTTCCTTAGACTTCAGATTCCTGGGAGTAACTGTGCCAAAATCAAACAGACCCTTTCCTGAAAAGTCTGTCTGTCAGCAGGAATTGCAGGAGCTCTTTGGCTGGCAGGAAAGTCCTTCAAATGGATTTCTTAAAAGGCAGGAATGGTGCTGGGCTTCCTTGGCTTTAAAAAACACTGGAAACCAAGTGTGGGGTAAGAATTCTGCTGGACTTTGCCATTCTGTGACACTGTTGTTGATTCAAAACCCAGCTTCTCTGATAATTTAGTTCTGTATTCCAGGAGCTTTGTTTAACCCGATCAAATGAATGTAAAAAGTTTTTCTTCTTTCCCTAAACAGAGAGGACCCAGCAGCGAGGTCGGAGCAGGTAACGTGAGCAGCCTCTGGTATATCATCTGTGTTCCTGTTGTGGTGGCTTTAATCCTGAGTGAAAGCTGCTTTTGGGAGGGAGAGTCAGGAGTGGTGCTGAACACCCATTTTACCAGTATTTATACACCCAGTTGATCCGAGGGGAGTAATTCTGCTCCCCCAGCACTTGTGTGCAGACACAGACACTTCTAAAATAGCGAAAAAGAAAAATGGCATAGATGAGAAATCAGTAAAATATGATTAAACAATGTTCCCAGTGTGTAACTGGGACTGTTTTGGGAGCCACTCCTGACCTCCAACTCAGCTGGGCTGCCTCCAGTGCAAACCCTTGGTGCTTTGGCCTGATTTGTACCCAAAGCTCTCCATTCCTGCAGGAATTCCTTGAAGCACCTTTTTGACCCCGACCACTCTGTCATTATCCATTTTGGCCAGCAGAGGAGAAAAGGAGTCCTTCCCGAGCCTGATTCCTGATAAAAAGCACCCAGGGAGTCTCTGCTGTGGACTCAGCTGGTTGTGATGGTTTCTCCTTCGTTCCTGTCCTAGTTACAGTCAGGCCCAGACCACGTTGGTTGGGGTGAAAGGAAATCTCCTGGCTTTGTCGTGCCATGGACAAGATCCTGAGGGAAAGCTGCCCACCGTCCCGGAATTGTGAGTAATTAATGTCATAACCCCCATGCGCTGCCAGGCCACGGCTGGGTGATGTTGGTTAATGTGTTCTGGCAGAGCCTCCTGCACGGCTTCAAGGTCGGGGTTGGTGCAGCTGCAGGGGCCAGGGCTGGGAATGGGGATGGATCCATCCCTGGGTGCCTTGTGCCCCTGTCCTGCTGCTCATCCCAGCTGCACCAGCACCCGGCACGAAGGAATCACAGGAATGAAGGAGAAACCACCACAACCCGCTGAGTCCTTAAGGGAGGCTCCCCGAGTGCTTTTAACCAGCGGGCTGGCTTGGGGAGAACTCAAGTTTTTCCCCTTGATGGCCAAAAATGGGGAATGGTGGAGTGGTCAGGGTCAAAGAGGAGTCTGAAGGGATTCCTGCAGGAATGGAAAGCTTTGGGTACGAATCAGGCTGAAGCAGCAAGGGTTTGCATTCCAGGCCGCCTTGCCAGGCGAGGGGCTGGGATGAGGGATGTCCATGGGCCGGGATGAGGGGCTGCCTGTGCCTCCCCCACTACGAGGGGACCATCTCCTCCTATGGCCCCCCTGTCGTCCTCAGGTGCCTGTGCTGCTGCTCCCTGACCTCGGGGGGCGGTCCTGTGACCTGCACGGGGCGCGCCGCCCCAGCCAGCCCTGCCCTGACCCCCGATTCCGCATCCCTGATCCCCCATCCCGGTTCCTCATCCCTGCCCGGGGCTCCCCGAGCGCCGCCGCCCCCGGCCCGCCCTCAACAAAGATGGCGCTTCCCGCCCTCAACAAAGATGGCGCCGCCCAACCCTCCCCTCGCACACACGCTCGGGCTCACGTGATGCCGGAAGGGGGCGTGGCCGGAAGTGGCGCGAAGGCAGCCGGCGCGCGGAGGAGCCGCGCGCTCAAGGTGGGGGGGGCGCCCCGGGGGGGCGGGGCCGGGGAGGGGGGGCGGTCACTGCTCCGAACCCGCACGGGGGCGCTGAGCGGCACCGGGACCACCGGGATCGGGATCGGGATCGGGACTGGGATGGGCAGCACCGCGACCGGGACAGAGATCACCGGGACCTCTGGGATCACTGGGATCACCGGGACTGGGGTCACGGGGGTCGGGATTGGGCATCACCGAGATCGGGATCATCGGGACGGGGATCACCGGGATGGGCATAGGAACGGGGATCGGGAGCATTCAGATTGGGACCACCGGGATTGGGATCATCGGGACCGGGACCAGCACCACCAGGTCCCATGGTCCGGGACACCACTGGCATTGGGATTGGGCTCGGGTTCATTGGAATCAGGATGGGGATCGGGACCAGGACCGCTGGTCCCTGGCGCCGGTAGCGGGGCAGGAAGGGGAATAACGGGGGTTATTGGCACCACCGAGGTTGGTGGCAGCGTGTCCGCTTGAGGCAGGGTGGGCCTGTGAACCCTCGTGTGTCCATCCATCCATAAACACAGAGGCTGTAACCGTCCCTAATCTTGGAAACGTCCCTGTTCAGCACTTCAGCCCCATCAAACCTCTGCCGGGGACTCTGCAAATCACCGACTCCTCTTATCTTTGAGAGGAGATAACTCTGTGTCCCTTTTCCTGCTCGTGTGGGTTTGGCCACCTGAGACATGGAGTGAGAGTCCAGGGTGATCCCCGGCATTCCAGCAGAAGCCAGTCCCTCCGTGGACGTGCTGTGCAGAGCAGTTGTTACATCCCTGTGGGATAGGGGAGGTGAGGGTGAAGCCAAGGGCTCAGAGCGGGCAGGGTTGTGTTCTGACCCAGAGCAGGTTTAGTTCACCCCCGTGAGCTCTTACAAAAGGCACAAAGGGGTGAAAACACTCCCATTTCCATTCAGATAACAAGGGAAGCTGTTCTGGAGCTGCAGCCTCTGGACCAGCAGCTGGAACTGGAGAGAAGGCCCAGAGCTCCCAGGCCCACAGGAGCAGCACTGGGCGAGGGGGATTTCCAGAATTCCGTTGTGTTTCTTCAGCATTTTGGTTTTTAAACGTGTCTGGATTATCTCTTGAATATCGCAGCAGGTTGGGGAAGTACCAAGAGGTGCCCAAACTGCTGTGGGATGCAGGCTGGAGCAGAATTCCATACCCCAGCCGGGGAAATGCCTTTGTGGCGAGCGGCTGCTGCCACCGGCTGGTCCCCGCCCTGCACTGCGCCTGAACAGAGCTGGCCGAGTTCACGTTTCCGTGCTCATTTCCCCTTCCATGCTCATTCGCCCAGCCTCTATTTTGTCCCCCTTTTTTTCCCCACGTCCTTTTTTTTAGCGCTGTTTCCAAACTGCGATTCACATCTTCAGAGCGAGGGGAAGCGCGAGAACCCCGGAGAGAAAAAACATCTTTAATTAAGACTTTGCATCTTTTTCTACTGAAATATTTTTAACCTACTTCTGCCTTTCCGGCTCCTTTATTTTTATTTTTTTTTTTCCTTTCCGTTAGTGCAGGTGCTCCTTCCCACAGGATTTTTGGGGCAGGCAGAGCCATTCCAGCCCTGATGCCGAGTTCTTTACCCGAATGGTGCTTGTGGGCTGCAGCTCTTTGTAGGCTTTGCTCCATCACAAGGTGTGCTGAGTCGTGACAGGAACAGGCTTTTTAAAGCTGTTTGCTTTGAGCTCTCTTGGCACATTCAGGCGAGGCTTTTTCTCTGCTTTTTTGAAAAAAAAAAAAAAAGTATTTAAAGTGCCGGGACAATTTTTGCCGCTGTGCTTTAATAGGATTTGCAGCTGTGAATGTGCTTTAAAAGGATTTACAGCTGGGTTGAAGTGTCCCCTCGCTTAAAATAACGTCACAGCTTCGTGATTCAGGAGAATGTGCCTCCCACTAGTTGCTTTGTGAGTGCTGGGGAGCACAAGGGGAATAGGAACAACTCCAAAACTTTTATTTGTGGCTAAATAAGAAGCATAACCCTGTGGCTGGGGACTGGAACTACCAATGAGTGTGTTTGGATCTTGGTTTTTGCCTTGCTGGTGACTCGCTTTCTACTCTCTCATGCAGTTTCAAACCTTGGCATGGTTTTTCCTCCATCAGTAAAACGGTAATAGAGAACCCTCTGGGTGATTTTAGATTGTGAAGTGATCGATCTGGGGACCTTTATGTGTTACAGAGTGCTGGGGCAGACAGAAGTGCAGGATGTGGTGTCACTGGGACCTGGTGAGAGCTGTGGGTTGTGTGTTTCTCAAACTGAAAAGCAGTTGGTGGCTGGGGAACCAACGGAAGAAATGTCTTATCTTAAAAACCTGCAGGGCAGATCCCACCCTCCTCCCCTGGCATGGGGCCAGGGGCTCCGAGCTGGGCCACAAACTCATCCAGGACATACAGGAATTAAACTGGGAGCAGGGGGGAGGCTCCACAAGGAGTTTTAAATCCTGCAGGTAGGATTTGCAGGGAGGGGGTGGATGACAGCCACCTCAGCACACGTTTGCCAGGCAGGTGCCCACACTCTGGAGTCAGGAGCTTTGCCAAAATACTGGAAAACTGCTGGTGGTGAGGGTGGAGTGGTGCAAAATTCGTGTCCTGGAGGTGCTGTCTGTGTTGGGGGAAAGCTGTGTACCTGTGTACCACCTTCCTCTGACAGAGATGGTGCCGTGGAGTAAATGCTGAGCTCATCCATTCTTGGCTCTCCAGGGGCAAACATGGAGCAGGAGAGAGGAGAGGGAGTCTGGCAGCACCGTGAGCCCCACACAGCAACTGCTTACACGGGTGTTACGCTCAGAGTCCACATGAATCCTGTCTCTATTCCAAGGAAAAGAGGTTTAAATCTCATTCATTGCACTGGAACTGGATGTGTGTGAGGAGGCCTGGCGGAGTCCTGGCTCCAGCTGCTGGTGTTCCTGCTGAGGCAGCTATGGAGCCTGTCTGCTCCAGGGATTTACTCCAGTCCGATGAGGAATGGGCTCAGAGTACATGACATAACCTCTCTCCCTCTGTGTCCTAGCCAAGGTTAAGAAGTCAGGGAATTTTTTTTTTAATAGGAACAATATCAAAGAGGTCTCTGCGTCATCTCCCCATCGGTGACTTTCCTGTTCACAGAGATTTGCACCCTTTGAAGTGCCTGATAGTAAATAAAGGCACATCATTTATAAATGAGGCTGAAGCCAGAAATCCCTTTCTCTGTCCCCTCTGTTTACCAACCCAGGCTTCCCAAACCGGAGGGAGAATTCCCCTGACATCAGTGACCTGCTGAGGCAACTTCCAAGCGTGGAATGGAGCTGGTGAGGAGGGAAGACCCCCAGCTCCGGGAGGTCGTGTGGTTCGCCGGGCGCTGTCGAGCCCTGACACTGCTGCTGCAGGCAAGTCTCCTGTCCCTCAGCCAGTGGAGCTGGGACAGCTGGATTGTGCTGCTCCCAGGCTTCTTTCCTTAGTACCTCTTGTGCTCCATGAGGTGCTTCCGCTTGATGGGGAAACCTGGGGTGCCTGGAGTGAGCGTGTGCAGCCTGAGCAGCTTTCCCTGGCCAGTTCGGTGGGGATTCGTGCTGGATACATCCCCCAGAGCTTCATTCTGTTCAGATATAAATAAAAAAGGTTGTGTTTGCCCCTTTTCCCAACCTCACAGGCATCCTTACAAACGAAGCCCCTCAGCCTGACTTTGGTGCTGCTCTGATCCCTTTGTTTGAACCCCAGGAGTTCTCCTGCCCGCTGCTTTCGGTACTGGAGGATCCCTGCTGGGCTTCAACCCTCTCTTCTTTTTCCAGGCTGCCTTTAACCTGCTGATCCCGGATCACGCCGCAGACGCCTTCTCTCCCCCTCGGCTGTCGGAGCCCAGCCCGTGGGATGTGCTGGTGGAGTGGCTGCTGGGCGGGCTGTCCCACTGGGATGCAGAGCACTTCCTCTTCATCGCGGAGCACGGATACCTGTACGAGCACAACTGCGCCTTCCTCCCGCTGTACCCCCTGAGCCTGTGGGCCGTGGCCAGGGGGGCCCTGTGGCCCCTGCAGCGGCTGCTGCGGCTGCGGAGCCGCCTCCTGCTCTCAGCTGTGCTGCTGAATTCCCTGTTCTCCGCCCTGGCAGCCGCTGCCCTGTACGAGCTGGGCCGTGTGGTGCTGCGGCGGCGCCGCGTGGCTTTCCTCGCTGCCCTCCTCTTCTCTCTCAGCCCTGCCAACGTGTTCATGGCAGCTGCTTACTCGGAGAGCATGTTTGCCTTCCTGGCGTTCGGTGCCATGTGGCAGCTGGAGAAGGGGCAGAGCTGGCTCAGTGGGCTGCTCTTCTCCCTGGCTTCTGGGGCACGTGCCAACGGGCTGATTAACGCTGGCTTCTTCCTCTACTCCCAGGGTAAACGCTTTGCCCTCCAGCTGCAGGTGGGATCAGGATCCCTAAGGAAGCTCCCTCTGTTGTGGAAGCAGGTCCTTAGCCTGGCATCTTCAGCGGTCCTGATGAGTGCTGGGATTTTTCTACCTTTTGCTTTGTTTCAGTACTATGCCTACCTGAGGTTCTGTGGTCCTGGCACCAGCCTGGATCAGACCATTCCCGAGCCACTGCTGCAGCTGGCTCGGGACAAGGGCTATCATCCGGCAGCCATGGATGGGGCTAAACCCCCATGGTGCTCCCAGAGGGTCCCTGTGGTCTATTCCTACATCCAAGACACTTACTGGAATGTGGGCTTTCTAAGATACTTTGAGCTCAGACAGATCCCAAATTTCTTGCTGGCTTTGCCTGTGACCCTTCTGGTCTCGTGGGCTGCCTGGACCTACATCAGCACAAACCCCCGGCACTGCCTGACTCTTGGTCTGGAGCGAAGTAAGAGTGAAGAGGAGGGAAAGCCAAGAGATGGATTTTGCTGCCCTGCTGCCTTTGTGTACGTGGTCCATGCCACGGCCCTGCTGGCCTTTGGATTCTTCTGCATGCACGTGCAGGTAGGACACTCATGGCACATATTCCTTTATGGGGTCTGAGGGAGTGACAGGCACAGCCCAAAGCTGTCCCAGCTGCAGGGCAGCACAGGGGAATGGAAACCAAAAACTTTGCCTTTCCTCTTTGGGAGCTACTTCCCCAGAAAATCCAAAGCCTGTTAGTTCCTCTGGAGAGTTCCCAAAGAGCTTGCTGAGTGCTCTGTGGGGGGGGGACACGGTGACAAGGATCAATGGGTCCAGCCTGGTATAAGGCCAGGCTTGCCAAGCACCGCTGTCCTTGGAGAACAAGGATATTGGATCCTTGTCATGTTGGGCTGAGCTTAATGGATGGCAGTGGAAAGATCCAGAGCAAGCTGGTGGCACCAAAGTTTGGGAGTTCCAGTAACAGAATAATCAAAGACTGAGATCCAAATCTGCCCTGAGCTGGGCAGTGACAGGGAGCAAAACCTGGGGACCCCTTAGCTGCTCACACAGTGTTGTAAGAGATGAAGCAGGCTGTGCTGGGAGGTCATATTGATGTAATAAATCCTAATGCCGTGAATTGGGGCCGTATTTCCATCCCCTTTATCAGCAGCCTAAGGCAGGCCCTTGGCTCCTTCCACACCTTGGGATCAGGGTTCTTTCCATGCCTTGGGACTGGGGCTCCTTCCACACCTCGGGATCAGGGCTGGCCACAATTAGAGAGCTGCAGTTGGTGTGATTTTTGCTGTGCCTGTTGTCTCCAGGTGCTGACCCGGTTCCTTGGCTCCTCCTCTCCCATCCTGTACTGGTTCTCTGCTCACCTGCTTCAGGAACACGAACCTTTACTCTGGAGTGCAGGGACTGATAATCCATCCCCTGGGAGGTCTGTCCTAGGTAAATCTCCTGGTTCCTGTGGGAAAGGGACTCCTGACAACCCCGTTGTGAGGCTGCTGCTGAACTGGCGATTAATTACCCCCCTCAGCAAGGGCATCCTGGGATTCTTCCTGTGCTACTGGCTGCTGGGACTGCTCCTACACTGCAACTTCCTCCCGTGGACATAGCAGGATGTGCTGGCACAGACTGGGAGCAGTCAGAATTGAAACTCACTTTTTCTGGAAGCCTGACGTAGCTGTGATGCTGTTGCAGTCACAAAAGTGTTACTCCTCCGTTACTACGTGTGTACGGAGCTGCTGTGTCCCAAGTGGGATGTTCTCCATGGTGTGATGGTGCAGTGTCCTGTTACTGACGGCCAGAATTCCTATTCCCTGGGACAGGAATGCACCTCGGTTCCTGCATCTCCTGGGGGAGATTTATGGCAGGCAGTGATTTATGGCGGGACCGGTGTGATGGATTTGGGAACCCTCTGGGATGTTGTTGGTGGGCACAGCTGGAGGACAGGGAGGATCCAGCTGCCATGAGCAGCTCAGACCGCGCTGGTTCCTTCTCCATGGCCCCAAGCCGGGCTGGGCTGGGCTGGGGGTGCCACGAGGCAGGGCAGGGGCACGGGAGGGGTGGCGGGGCCAGGGCCGGTGTGTTTGGGAACGCACACATCCCTAATAAACACGTGAAAGTTACCGGAGGGGCAGCTCACCCTACTCTGCTGGGCAGGGGGCGGGATTGGGGTTGGGGATCCCGGGATCGAGGTCAGGGTTGGGATTGGGATTGGGAGTCAGGGCTGGGATCAGGGTCAGGGGTTCCGGGGTTGAGATGGGGATCGGTGTTGGAGTTGGGCTTGGGGGTTTTGGGATCGGGGTCAGGGTTGGGATCGAAGGTCCCGAGGTTGGGCTTGGGATCCAGGGTCAGGGTTGGGATCGGGGTCAGGGGTCCTGGGGTTGGGATCGGGGGTTTCAGGATTGGGATCAGGGTTATGATCAAGGGTCCGGGATCAGGGCCTTGAGTCCCGAGATCAGGGATCCCAAGATCAGAGTCGGGATCAGGATTGGAATCGGAATCGGGGTCATGGCCAGGGTTGGGGCTGGGATCAGGAGTGGGATTGGGGTCGAAGTTGGGATCGGCGTCGGGGGTCTCGGGGGCAGGGGTTGGGGCCGGGCTCAGGGTTGGGATGGGGATCAGGGGTCCCGGGCTCAGTGCTGGGATGGGGATCAGGGGTCCCGGGCTCAGTGCTGGGATGGGGATCAGGGGTCCCGGGCTCAGTGTTGGGATGGGGATCAGGGATCCCGGGATCAGGGCTGGGGTTGGGCTGGGGATCAGGGCTCCTGGGATCAGTGGTGGGATGAGGATCAGGGGTGCTGGGATCGGGGTTGGGATGGGGATCAGGGCTCCTGGGATGGGGATCAGGGCTCCCGGGATGGGGATCAGGGCTCCCGGGCTCGGTGTTGGGATGGGGATCAGGGCTCCCGGGATGGGGATCAGGGCTCCCGGGATGGGGATCGGTGTTGGGATGGGGATCAGGGCTCCCGGGATCAGGGCTCGGTGTTGGGATGGGGATCAGGGCTCCCGGGATGGGGATCAGGGCTCCCGGGCTCGGTGTTGGGATGGGGATCAGGGCTCCCGGGATGGGGATCAGGGCTCCCGGGATGGGGATCGGTGTTGGGATGGGGATCAGGGCTCCCGGGATCAGGGCTCGGTGTTGGGATGGGGATCAGGGCTCCCGGGATGGGGATCAGGGCTCCCGGGATGGGGATCAGGGCTCCCGGGATCAGGGCTCGGTGTTGGGATGGGGATCAGGGCTCCCGGGATGGGGATCAGGGCTCCCGGGCTCGGGCTCGGCGGTCCCGTTGCGGGGCGGGCCGGCAGGGGGCGCTGTGCGGCGGGGCGGGCCCGGGGCGCGGGGCGGCACCGGCGGGGCCGGGCCGGGAGCGGCGGGGCCGGGCCGGGGCTCCGGGCGCCGCGGCGGGGCCATGAAGGACTGCGAGTACCGGCAGATCCCGCCCGGGGCGGCGGCGGCGGCTCCGGGCCCGGGCACAGCCGCCTCGCCGCCCCCGCCGCCCGCCGTCCCCCCGCGGCCGCGGCGGCCCCGCAGGAAGTGGGAGGTGTTCCCGGGCCGCAACCGCTTCTTCTGCGGCGGCCGCCTCATGCTGGCGCGGCACAGCGGCGTCTTCGTCCTCACCCTCGGCCTCATCCTGGTCACCAGCGGCCTCTTCTTCGCCTTCGAGTGAGTCTGGGGGCGGTGAGGCCGTGCGGGGGCTGTCCCTCGGCTCCTTCCCCGCAATCAGCCCTTGACCCCCCCTCTTTGAGCCCCCTCCGTTCGGGGGAGTTGGGGGTTAGTTGGCATCCCACCCTTATCCTCGTGGTGGAGGGAGGTGGGCTGGGGGGGCGCCTTCCCCCCTCCGTGGGAGCCCCGTTATCCCCCCCTTCTCCCCACTGACCCCTCCGAGCCCTTTCCCCACTGCACAGCCCCCAGACCCCCTTCGCAGGCAGTCACTGCCCCCATCACCTGTCCCCAGGTGTCTTTATGGGGGCCCAGAGGTGTCCCTGCGCCTTGTTTGCTTAGTGTGGCCCCGGGAAGGGGTTTAACATCCCCCCAGGATCCCCGACGGTTTCTAAATACGCCGCCCCCACCCCGACCCAGTGTCCCTTCCTGCTCCCAAGGACAGAACTGGCCCAAAATTGCAGCCAGGGAACCCCCGAGGCTGGTGGGCTTTGCCCACCGCTGGGATCTCGGAATAATGTTTCTTTTAAATGGTGAAATCCTTGGGGGTCCCACTTCGAGGGTCTACACTGGAGCTCTGCCCCCGCTGTGCAGCCGTGTCCAGGGAAGAGGCAGCTGCATCTCCCCAGCCCCCTTTCCTTTGGAAAGCTGCTCCAGGGAGAGCTCCCTGCTCCTGCACCCTGAGGGAGGGGAGAGCCAGTCCGTTATGTCCTGCACTGCCCTGCAGGAGGGCAGGAGCACCGTGGGTTATTGGCACCTCAGAGGGATTCTGCCGTCCCGCCTCGGGAGGGAAGGGAGATGCTTTTCCCTGGAGCGGGAGGGCAGTGCCTGCCTTTGGATCACGGCGTTATCCCCGCGAGTCTTGGAGTAAAGCTGCTGGAGCCTGCTGGCGGGGAGATGAAGGCATTTGATCGGATTAGAGGTTCTGAGAAGTCAGATGAGCTGAGAGGGGCAGGCAGCTGCGGGAGGCAGTCACAGCATCCCGCTGGAAAAACTCCTTTCTCCGTGTCATCCGTGCCCCTGACAGCTCCCTGCGCTGGGTCTGGGACTGACGGGCAGCTCTAGCACAGTGACTGCTTTGTGTGGCCAGGCAGAGGACATCTGCTCTGCCTCCCTCCTTGCCGAGTCACTCTCTTGGGCTTGAAGATGCCCTGGGGCTTTCCAAGTTGTTATTTTAGCAGGATGCCTCTGTTGCACTGGTTACTGTTTGCTGGATGTACAGCAATCTTGCCTGTGTCTACGCTTCGTGTTTGTATGGAAAAACCTGGAGCAGATTGCCCAGAGAAGCTGTGGCTGCCCCATCCCTGGAAGTGTTCAAGGTCAGGTTGGATGGAGCTTGGAGCAACTTGGGATAGTGGAAGGTGTCCCTGCCCATGGCAGGGGGGTGTAACTGGATGATTTGTAAGGTCTCTTCCAACCCAAAACATTCTGGGATTCTCTGATTTATGTGATTTCTTGTTCTCTGATGGGGCAAAGTGGGCTCCAGAAGTTCTCCCAGGAAAGGGGTGACAACAAGATCACGTCTCCTTTCACAGACCTTTCTGTCCCTCTGCCAGAGAGTCGACCAAGGGGCTTGGGCTGAAGGGGCTTTGTTGCTTAGTGGCTGCTTTGTTCTGGACAGCTGAGCTCGGGAGGTGAAACAAAAGTTGCTTAATCCTCTCAAAACTGCTGCAGAGCATTGCTGAGCCTGAGCACTGCCCACAGACATCAGGGCTGGGGCAGCCTGTCCGTCTGTGCCGGGTGTGATCAGTGCTTGTGACAGCAAATCCCTCTGCAGGAGGGGTCTGTGGCACTGTGTGTGTCCCCTGGTGTCCTCACCTGCCACCCGAGAGTAACGGAGCTGCCCTGGTGTGGAGTGTGATCACACCAGTCCCCATCTATGGAAAAACAGCCCCAGGTCGTAGCAGGGTGAGCCCAGGAGTGGCTGTTGACTGCAGAGATGCCTGGTGGCTTGTCACAGCGCCCAGTGCTGGAAGTGTCCTCGTCCAAACATCTGGCACACCAGGAAGGGCACATGAGTCATCCGGAGTCGGCAAAGCTGTGTTGAATCGAAGCCAAAATCCCCCTCAGCGTCATGTGTTGGACCAAAAGGGATCGTGGTCACGCTGATTCTCATCCCTGTGTGGCTTGGGGTGTTTGCCTGTGTGTTCTTGGTGCTGCTGTTGTAGAGGTGACCAGGCTTTGGGGCAGCTGGGGGGTTTTTGAGACGTGATTCTGGGACTTCAGAAGACAAAAGAGGTTGTGTGCAGGGGCCTTGGTGTGTCTTGGTGCCAAAGACCCAGCACCACTCCAGTGTTTTCTGGGCTGCTCTTGCTGTTCATAGGCTGTCATACCCAGAGGTCTCTGCAGAGCAGCAGTGCTTGAGCCCACTACCCTGTGATAATTCCTGGTGTGTGTGTCCCAGCTGACACCTGGTTCTCTACAGTGATTGATAACAGTGGCATTTTATCCATGTTTTTAACAGCTGCCCATTCCTTGCCACTCACCTGACCTTGGCCATCCCCATCATCGCCGCCGTCCTCTTCTTCTTTGTCATCAGCTGCCTGCTCCAGACAAGCTTCAGAGACCCAGGAATCCTGCCCAGAGCCACCCCAAGTGAGGCAGCAGACCTGGAAAAACGGATTGGTGAGACCTCTGTTCCCTCTCCTGTGTTTGGTTCAGTGCATGGCTGTGTGTCTGTGCACACACACATTCCAGGCTCAGCGAGCCCCACTTTTTGGGTCTTGGCTCCTTACTGGTTCTCCAGGGGATGAGAGAAACCAGAGTATCAGATTGTGAGGCTTGAGAGTGTCTTATGAGTCCTGGTAAGAGGTGCAACAAGCTCCTCCAGCGCAGCAGGCAGTGCTTCAGAGAGGATCTGCAGAGCATCAGAGGTGGTTTTTGTTCCTGTTCAGTCCCATCGCCTTCCCAGGCAGCAAAGTTGAAGGATAATTAATGCTTTTTAAGATTATGCCTTGCCATTGGGCCTGCTGTGCTGCAAGGTGTTCTTTAGTGTAGGCTAATGTTTGTCCTCTTCTGAAAACTGCTCTGTCACGCTGGTTTGGGGACAGCCAAGAAGG